AATTTCAAACAGAAATTCTTGTATCACCCCAAACTTGGCTAAAAAGATGTTTGGGTTAACCTGGGTAGGAAGGCAACAGGCTCCTGCATAGGTTAGTGTTTGGGCCTTTGGTTCAAGCAAAAGGGCCGCTTTTATTTTTTCTTCATTTATGGTTTCCAATTTCAAAGCCATCTGGGCTTCTTCCTTGGAATAAAAACCTTTGTAATTAGACCAAAACTGGTCTTGTTTGGCCTCAGAGAGGTCTTTGTATGAAGTATAAACTCCTTTGTTTGGCCCCGTAACTAGGGCATAATGTGTAAACCCCTTACCAGAAGGAGAAGTTGCGGAAGTCAACCTAACTTCCTTGTTATCTGCATTGCAGAAACTGTATAATGCGCTAATAATGCTTTGTTTCATTTTAGCGACTTGTTGCTCATTATGAGCTGTGTGTTTTGGAATATTCCAAATGTTGTCAATTAAAACATTTAATTTGACATTTGTAGATTCTCTACCAGGAAACTGGTAGGAATTTATAAGTATGGGTAACTCTTGTTTCCCATACTTCATGTATTTTTCCACCATAAATGGGGATTTTGTGGGTTTAGGACCTAAAGGCCCCTTCCCTTTGTGTGTAGAATCCATCATTGGATTTCTTGTTCCTGCAAAAGAAACATTAGTAAACAAGTTATATAAAACTTGTAGAACCCATCAATGGTCTTTTGTTCCCGAAAAACAATCGGAAAACAGATTATATTAAGCAACAAAATGCTTTATTTTCTCTAGTTCTTGTTCTAGAGTTTTTATGTGAGCCTTACAAAAGGCAACCTCATAAGCAAAATTATGAGGGTTTAATTCATCTTTAATTAGATGTATTTTGGCTAATCTTCTTTTTAGCCCTTTTATGCGTTTTGTGATCATTATGACTGGATGAGGACCTGTCTCACCAAATCTTAATGGTTCGTGTAAAAACCCAAATCCCGGGGAATTTCGTGGTCATTTTGTACTACCAAGTCATTATCCATAATCTTGGTCTTTGGAGGACTTGTCAGAGTCCTTTGTAGTGACATACCTGGAAAGGATGTCGGCGAACATATTATCGGAACCTTTAATATGTTCAAAGTTTATAACTTTTCCAGAATTCATATAATCCTTGAATAAAAGCCATCTTCTATGAGGCTTTTTATCTTTATGAATCTGGTGTTTACCATAAGACACAATTGCTTCACAATCGGTTCTAATGGTTATTTCTGACTTATCTATCGTAAATAATTTAAAAGCATCTAATGCATGTATGATAGCATTGACTTCATAGTCGGTGCTAGTTTGATACACCTGGGGTTTAGCAGTGTATTTGCCGGATGCATACCTACAAATTTGTTCTTCTATCTTAGAAGAATATTTGTTTTTCTTGCGTTTTAGGATGGCTCCCCATCCTAATTCGCTTCCATCACACTCAATTATCAAATAATCGAGTCTAATGGTAATTGTAAAGTTGGTAATTGGTTTACCATTTGTTTTATATTCTGAACCAATCTAATGTCTTCAGAATTAAATTTTCTTTCTCCTTTAATAGAAGTTTTGTTGTATAAAGGAGATGTATATTGACCCAAATTTGGAATAAAATTTTGGGCGTAATTTAAGAGTCCTAAAAAGGATCTTAATGTTTTAATATCCTCCATTTTATCTGGAAAATCTTGGATCTTTTTAGAAATATGGGGTTGGAGTTTTATGGTTCCGTTCCCTATTTCTCGTTCCTAGGAATTCTATAAATCTTTTACTGATTTCCATTTTGTTTTTAGACACTATTAATCCATAGTGTTCTAATTTATATAATACTTGTTTTAGATGAAGAAAATGTTCTTCTTTTGTTTTAGAAAAAACAAGTATATCGTCTATATAGACGCAAGTAAAGGATTTTAAATCCTTAAAAATGTTGTCCATTTTTCTTTGAAAAATGGCGGGAGCATTTTTAAGGCCGAAAGGCATAACATGCCATTCATATAATCCTTCTGAACAGGAAAAAGCTGTCCATTTTATAGAGTCAGGGTCCATTTTAACCTGGTGGAACCCGCTCTTTAAGTCAAATTTTGAAAACCATCTAGCATTTTGTATGCGGTTTATCAAAATATCTTTAGATGGAATAGTATATCCATCTTCGACTGTGTTATCAAAAAGTGTAACATTTGTTTATTATTATTACCTACCATCTTGAAAGGTATTTCTTCAATCTCAATTTCCTGTGGAGGGATGGTGACAGGATTGAACCTTTTCGTGACTACGAATCAAAAAAATTTCTTGTATCTTGTCTGTAATGATGTTGTGTAAATCAAGACAATTAATGCAGATTTCTAAGGTCCCCTCAGAACTTACATGTGTATAAAGGCCTCGTGTTGCACCAATGCATGTTTGTTATGGGGTTTGAATTGTTTGACAGTAATTATTAAATATACTTTGTTCTTTTTCTTTCACCGAATTAATCCTTCCTCTTTTCATTTCAAATGTTGTTATTTTTTTCATACATATTTAAAAAAAAATAGTAAATTTTACTAGAATACACTTTTCTTTGTTTCAATTTTCATCATGGTTCAACATTTTACAAAATGATTATATCTTTATACAACATATGTAATAGTAATACGTGAACAACTATTATGTTTTTCTATCCAACCACATGTAATAATGCAATTTTTTTATGAATGATTAATATTCTATAAACATCTAAAACGATCCCTTTCTTCTTCATTTCTTATGTCTAAGAAACTGTTTCTTTTGAAAATATTTATCATTAAAATAAATTTATATGCATGATAAGTCTCTTGGTAACAATATAGTTTCAAAATGTATGAGAACTTTTATTATTAAAATTAAATATTATAAAAATTTTATATAATTATATCACACTGTAACATTATCATATATATATAATTTTTAATGTATTAAGAAACCTAAAGGAATTTTCATTATTAGATGTGTTAATTATCTCCTAATTAATTGTTTTTATAACAAAAACTAAAAAAATATCTAATTTGATAGTATTTTTTTGTTAGTCTTATATTTTTACTCTTATTAATTATTACTAAATCAATTAATAGTAATATATATATATATATATATATATATATATATTAAAATTGTAAACTAACTTGTATTAAATTATTTATTTGTTCATAATTGTTCCTTATAAAAAAATATTAAATTAGTATGGAGATTTATTTGAAATATTAAATAAAATTATAATTATTGCATTAAAATATGTAAATGAAAACTTACAAAGAAACTTAAAAATATATATAAAGTGTTCTCATCAAAGGAAATGTGATATTGATAATTGAAAATAATAACTGAGTATATCAATATATGTTAAATGTTAAAAAAATATTGCAATTATTGACGTGTGCAAATATTTTATAAAGTACAATATTTTTACTTTTTATTATCTCGTTTTTTTCTAATTTTTAAAATATGTTGAAAACTTAAAGCGATTTATTTTATCGAATTGTTATGGGAATAATACCAACATATAATTCTTTTTCATTTTATCTCATAGTAGTATATTTAATTTATTGATATTTTAATTGTTGGTTTGTTTATTTTTTTCATATTATATTTCATAAAATTTTGTATAAAACTTGAAATAAATAAAAAAACATAAATTTCATAAATATTTTGTGGTAACGTTTGTTGTTTGAGTATTGGGCGTTAATATCTATGAGCGTGCATGCAAGGGTGGATCAGAAATTTGAATCGGCGTGGGTGGTTTTGTGAAAATCAAAGTATATGAATTTGAATTTGTCATTTCCCATACTTTGCATGAAATTTTATAAGTCACTCCAGATTTCTAAGAACACGTAACATTTCAAACCATTTCCCATCAAAACAACATATCAAACACTGAAATCAACTACAATTTATGTGTTTATTAGTATATTATTAATACTAAAATTCTTATTTTATATAGATTTAGGAATGTAGATGTATTATAGTATTTTTTTAACTTAGACAAAAAAAATCTACTTTTCAATAAATTTTTCATTATAATCTATATGTGGCATACTTGGTTAAGATTTATATATATATATATATATATATATATATATATATATATATATATATATATATATATATATATATATATATAAAGACTATAATTCTTTATCCGCAAAATGTATAAAACCACAAATTATATTTTTAATTTGAGTTTGTTGGAATTTCATTAAAAAGTTTTATTAAAACAAAAATAAGTATATATTATTGGGCTATATATGACATAATAGAAAATAATATTTTAATAAAAAAATAATTTTGAATATATATATATATATATATATATATTATTAAAATAATATTATTTATTTTTAAATAACTCTGGCAAGAATTGCCTTTAAGTTTATACAGAAATTAATATCTACAAAACATACGAATGACTAATTATTTATAAAAGAAAACTCAAAATATAAATATTTAATTAATTATATTTCTTTTAAGTATTTTTAATGTATCTTTTATTAGAATTAAAATATTATCTTCAAAAACTTAAGTTAATATTTAATATAAATATTTATTAGATAAAACACTATAAAATATATATAAGTTGTTTTTTAATTTAGTACTTATTTTTAAATATTTTTATATTCCTTAATGTAACTTAAAAAGATGTTAGACACATTGGTTGGAACGGTGAGTTTATTTCAGTGTGTAACGTTTTATCAAGTGTAGAAGGTGTGATAAGCATGGAGGACCTGGAAATAGTATACAGAAAAGGGAGGTGTGAACGGAAACATTAATTTTGGTGAGTGATTTTCTATGTTTTTAATAATCCAAAGTCATGAGAATGTGTAACACTACACACGGAAGAGTTTACAAACAGAGGTGACAGATGGATCACACTGGAGGTGACATGCAAGGAAAAGAGCTGAATAACTTCAACTGATCGGTTGCAAACCTGATCACTTTCTTCCAAAGAGGTTATTTCAACATCACTGTTCCCAACACATCTTCACATCATCTTCTTTTCTCCCACCATGACCCTTTTTGCCAACAACCATACAAGTGAAATTGAATTTGCTGATCGTGAAGGTGGAGAAGAGTTAGCACGTTTGCATGCAGATCTAGCTCTCCCTATGGACAAAAACACTGCAATGTTGCAGGTGCATTCAGATCAAAAGTGTAGCACTAACAAGAGGTACATGACCCTTTTGGTGATTAACTATGTGTGTCTCTTTGTGGGCTCTCTTTCTTCTAGTTTGCTCTCTAAGTATTATTTCATCCACAAAGGCTCAAGCATTTGGGTTTCAACTTGGGTTCAAACCGCAGGCTTTCCTCTATTGGTGATTCCAATTTGTGTCCCTTATCTCCTTAAACTCACAAAGAGGGTGCCTTTCACTGATTTCACCCCAAGAATGTTAATTGTCTCAATTTCAATTGGTGTTATGTTAGGATTCAACAACCTGTTCTTCTCATGGGGGAATTCATATCTTCCCATTTCAACCTCGGCCCTTTTGCTATCATCCCAACTTGTTTTCAACCTTCTCTTCTCTGTTATCATTGTGAAGCAAAAACTAACCTTTTCAAACGTTAACTGTGTGATCCTTCTCACCTTGAGCTCCATCCTCCTAGGCTTGGACTCTAGCCACGAGAGACTAAAAGGGCTCACACAAAGGAACTACTTCATCGGATTCTTCTGCACCATAGCAGCAGGGTTGCTGTTTGCATTGTACATGCCTCTGATGGAGAAGATCTACAAGAGGGTGCATTGCTACGAAATGGTGATGGAAATGCAGCTTGTGATGGAGTTTGCAGCTACAACATTGGCCACAATTGGCATGGCATGGAAGGGTGGATTTGCTAAGATGAAGGCAGAAAGTGAAATGGTTTTTGACAAGGGATGCATAATTTATTGGGTAACAGTGATGGGAAATGTGGTGACTTGGCAGCTATGTTTCATGGGAACTGCAGGAATGGTGTTCTTGACATCTTCCTTGACAGGGGGGATTTGCATGACAGCATTGTTGTCCATGAATGTCTTAGGAGGGGTTGTGGTGTTCAAAGATGCATTTGGTGGTTTCAAAGCTGTGTCCACTACTCTCTGCATTTGGGGGTTCCTCTCCTACGTTTATGGCATCTACAAATTCAATCAAATGGGGGAACGCAACCCTCCATCCAGGAACAAAAACAGCAGTGAGTCATCCACAGATATGGTCAACAATGTGACTTAAGTGATATAGTTTATCATGTCATCTTTGTGTATTAACTTTATTCACCAACACTATCTTTTCTTGGTTATGAATGTCAGATTATCAATTCTCCAGTTACATCTATTCATCATTTATTTTGTGAACATTTAAGTTGATCTATAATTATTAAATTTTGTGCACATAAATGTTGAAGGGAACATATATAGGGTATGGTTATTTTTTACACATATTTATGGAAGACAAACTTATTTGAGGAATGGTTAGATATAAGCAGATAGTTTTGTTTAAAGAAGATTTAAAACATAATTTGTGACTTTATGCAAGATTAAAGATTTCAAGGATCTTATCCAATTAATCACGTATACAACATGTGCAGCTATTTATGTGAGGAATTTTTGTTTCCTATAAATATCAGAAACTTTTGTTTGTTTAGATGCATTCAAAGTTCGAAGCTTTGTAAGTTAGCTCTCTCTACTCTTTGCTTGTCTATAGACTCCTTAGATGCTATGTATTGCCATATTTACTATATTTTCTTTCAGAAACATCTTCACCTTATTTTTAAGTTTTTTAAATTTTGTCATATTCTGATTTTAAGTTAATAATAGTGTTGAAGGTATTATGTATTTTAAAATTTAAACTCGATTATTCATTATAATATCTTTAAAAAATATATTTTAATGTGTTAATGAAAGAAAGTATTTATAATTTTTTTTACATTATTCTATTATGAAAATTGTTGCTCTATATTGTGATTATCTAAACCATAAAAATATTATTTGATTATTAGGCCTGATTCAGAATCCAATTTTCATTATATATTTTTCTATCATAGTTCTTTTGTCCAACCAATAGCACCGGCATTAACATTGGAATAATAATAAAAAATCTCTCTGGTTAATGAAACTACTCCATTTTCTAAGATCCACGTGCAATTATTTGTTCCTCTAATCTATGTTTAATGCCAAAAAATGGTTTTTCTGGAGTAAAGTGAAATAAAATGAAATTAAAAATATTATTTTTATTTTTAAAATTAATATATAAAATATATAATCTAAAATATGGGTTATTTAGTTCAAATTAATTATTAATAAAAAATGGTGACAAATATTATAGTATTATAAATTATAAATTTTAATGGTTCACTTTATTGTTTGTCATTGAAATTAATTTAGATAAGTAGAGATTTTGAGTATTAAATTATTATTACTAATGATTGAGAGGAATAGTATTAAATAAATACTTTTTTAATCCATATAGTAACCTTAAACATGATGGAGAAACAAAGATTTATAATCTGAATAAAGCATTTATCATATCCCTTGAGTTTGAGTGGAATGGGCCGTGACAGATGAGCCCAAAGAGGCCCAACAAGATGACGTTTTGGCGGGAAGGCGTTGATACCCTTTATTAATTTTCGGCTCGCGCCCATTAGTTAGAAACGGTAATGAGAAGCCAGATTCGAAGAAATCAAGAGTTTAGAGCTGACAGTGTTAGAACAATTTGTTCTTTAAGAAGAGGAGGAACGAAGAAAAACACGTATGAGAAAAAAAAAAAAAAAAAAGCTTTTTCATTAAACACACTCAAAGTTAATACAATAATAGTTTTTTATACAACTACATACAATACATTTATACACATATTTACTAACTTTTTTGTTTTGGTTTATATTGCTACATTTCTTCATAATCCAAAACATTTAGATTATTCTAAATTTAGTAAAGTGGTCACCTTCTTAAATCTTTCATGTTTTAAAAACTTAGGTAAAAATATCATTAATTTAATAATTTGTATTGTAATATTCAAGCTCTAATATTTTTTTACTTGATCTCTAAGGAAATAATATTTGGTTTGAATGTGTTTACTTTTTTTTTTAAACTCGATTCTTTAATAAGTTAATGGTTGATTAATTTGTCAATATACATTTTTACTGGTCTTTCGTACTATAATTTCATTTCTTCAAGTAAGGTTTTAAGTCATAAACTTTGACAAACAGTTTCGATTGACCCTATATATTTAGTTTCATAGGAAAATAGTGTCACCATACTTTACTTCTTTAAACATCGAGATATTGGTGCATCAGAATACTTTAACAGATACTTCTAGGTACTTTTTCTCTCAACCTTATCACCACATCAATCTGAATCAGAGTATGCTTCAATGCATGATCTGTTTTGATCATTCCTAACTGGAAACAAAAAACTAAATAACTTAGTCCCTTGACATATCTTAAGATATGTTTGGCGGCAGTCATGTGAGGAGCTCAAAGATTGCTCATAAACCTCCTAAGCAAACTCATTCCATAGCTAATGTCGGGTACTGTTGAACCTGAGTGAACCAATAATTTGTTTAAGCAATGTTGCATCAATTGATTTTTCATCCAGTTCTTCTATTAATTTCAAGTTTGGTATCACGGGTACTATAGTTGTATTACAATTCTTCACGTTAAAGCGTTTTAGAATCTCACCAATATATTTTCTTTCGTGTAAGAAAATTCCCTTTTGTGTATGCATAAATTCAAAACCAAGAAATAATGCAGAATTCCAAGATTTGACATGTCAAACCTTGACTTCATTTTTTTTTTGAATTGCTCGATTTCTTCATTCACATCACTTGTAACAATTAAATCATCCACATACAGGTATATAAATAACAAGTTCTTATGTTGGGTTTCTTTTATACATACGTCAAATTCTACTATACATTTCACAAATCCTTGTTCACCAAGGAAATTGTCAATCACTCTGTTCCAAGCTCGAGGAGTTTGCTTGAGGTCATAAAAAGCTTTAAGTAGTCTATATACCTTATGTTCCTTCCCTTTATCAAATCCTAATGGCTGCACGATGTATACTTCCTCTTCCAATGGATCATTCAAAAAGACAAATTTGACATCAAGCTGACATATGGTCCAATTTCTAGAACTAACAACAACAATTACTAATCTAATTGTTTCCATTCTTGCAACTGGATCACATACCTCTGCATAATTAATTCCTTGTTTTTGAAAGAATCCTTTTGCAACGAGCCTAACTTTGTATTTTGCAATTAAGTCATCTTGTTTAAGCTTTATTTTAAACACCCACCTCACGTCAATTGGATGTTTATTATGTGGCAGATCAACAAGCTCCCAGGTTCTATTTTTCTCGATGACATCCAACTCTTCTTTCATAGCAGTCTTCCATTCTTTTATGTCCAGGGCCTGCTTCCAGTGTACAGATTCAGTGTCAACCATTAAAGTCATTTCACCATCACCAAAGACTGAACTATTACTGTACAATTCATAATCTGCAAGTCTCGTGGAGGGAAATCTCGTTCTTTGCAACCTTCTTACAAGAGGTTGCATTGAGCTAGCAGGATTAACGTCATTTATTCTTGGGTTGTCCTCAAGAATATATGAGCTATAAATTTTAGACTCATTTTCCCACTTCTAGACTGTAGTTTCATCTATCACGACATCTCTGCTAATCATCACCTGTTTCTTCAAAGGGCTGTAAAGTTTATATGCACCTGTTGGATGATATCCTACTAGGATAAGAGTTTCACTCTTATCATCTAACTTTCTTCTTCTTTCATCTGAGATGTGCCTGTAGTTGAGTGACATAAAAATTCTCAGATGATTCACCATAGGCTTGTCCCTAGTCCAAGCTTCTTCAGGTATTATAGAGTGAAGTCTCTTTGCAGGATATCTGTTCAATATATGTTATTGTGGTGACAGTTTCTCCCCAATAACAATTTGGTAGTTCTTTCCCTCTAAGCATACACCTAGTCATATCTAGTAGAGTTTTATTTCTCATATAGGGAGTTGTTACCTCATGTGTAATACTTTTAGTTTCATTTAATCCTTTGAACTGCTAAGAGTTATACTCATCATTTTTAGTTTCAATTCAAATTGTCTTTCAACTAAGCTACAAAACATCACAAATAGAGAAAACACCGCACTTTTCTCTTTCAACAAACATATCCAAATCTTTTTTGTTAAATTCATCCACAAAAGTCAAGAAATACCTATTACCACCAAGGTATGGAGGGATGGAGTATCAAAGGGTCCAGGTGGTGTTACAGATTGAAGTCCCATTGTAGGACATTTATTCAAAATATATGTTATTATGGTGACATCTTCTCCCCAATAATAATTTGGTAGTCATTTCCCTTTAAGCATACACCTAGTCATATTTAGTAGTACAGTTACAAGGAGTTGTTATATCATATGTAATACCTTTAGTTTCACAAAATCCTTTTAACAGTTTAGAGTTATATTCACCTCTTCCATCTATTCTAAGGATTTTTAGTTTCAATTAATATTGTTTTTAAACTGAGTCATAAAACATCACAAATAGAGAAAACAGTGCATTTTTCTCTTTCAGCAAACATACCCAAATCTTTTTGGTAAATTCATCCACAAAAGTCAAGAAATACCTATTACCACCAAGGATGGAATATCAAAGGGTTCACACAGTCTAAATGAACTACTCTAAGAGGTTGTTGGGTTCTTTGTGGTGTTTTGGTCTTAAATGTTTTTCTAGGTTATTTGCCAATCAAGCATCCCTTACAGTTTTTTGTATTAATCAAATGGATGGCATTCCAAGCACCATTTGTCTGCTGTTTAGTTGATACAAACTTCTGAAATTTAAATGGCCATATTTGTAGTTTCATAGCCAATTATTTTCTTTTGTGTTAAGAGTGGACAAGCATTAAATGACAGCAATACTTAAATTTATCTTGAAGATCCTATTTCTAGACAATGATGCCTTGAGCACAAGTCTTTATTTATCATAAAAAATCTCAATATGGTTTGTTTGCATTGTCATGGAAATCCTTTCTCTAAAAGTTGTCTAACTAAGTAGATTATTTTTCATTGAAGATACATATAGCACATCATACATATATAGTGTCTCTCGAATATTCTTTCATGTAATCATCACTTTTCTTATACCTTCTATAAGATGGTACTATTATCTGCATATACTAGCGGTGATATTTGGGTTAAAATCATGTTTTTTAATTTTTACTGTTTTTTTTATTCGTTGTGTCGAATTTTAGCTTAAATTGCAGGCTTTGGCATTTCAAATGCTAGAGTTTGAGTGAGTTCAAATGGAATTAATTGTGTGCATTTTGTTCACTGCTAAATTTTCCCTTTTGCAGGTTAAGGGAATTGGGTACATCAGAAATTGGGAGGCTTGTATCTGTTACAGGAGTTGTGACGAGGACAAGTGAGGTTCCACCTGAACTTCTCCAAGCGACTTTCAAGTGCCTGGAATGCGGTAGTGTTATAAAGAATCTTGAACAGCAATTCAAGTATATACTGAGGTGGTTAAAAGAAGAATATTATGTTCTAATTTGATTATGATCATGTTTTATCATTATCTTGATATGTTGATTTATGATTGTTGTTATTTGTCATTTTATTAATTTTTCATCCTAAATAAACTATTAAAACAAGCTATAAAGATTGTGGCTAGCATGGGATAACTCATAACATTTTCACTGTAGAACAAAATTGTCAATAATTGAATATAATTTTTTTCAAATAATAAATTATCTAAAAAAAGTTTGAAATTACTATTTTTCTAAAATAAATAATCTAAATTTTTTCTTTGAGTGCAACTTTTTCAATCCTTCAGATCATCATATCGTCGAAGTTGTATATGTCCATATAATTTTATATTTTTTATAATTTAAAATAATATTTTATTTCTTTACTATTATTTTTATAAAAATTTATATGATAATGTGATTTTGAAATCACTATGTATCTCAATTAACATTCTTTGATAAATCAAGAATAAAAATGAATATGCTTGATACTAACTACGTTTTTTATAAAGAAAATAAAAAATAAATATAAATATTAAAAAAAATAATAATAATTAGGATTTAATATTGAAAGAAAAGATTTTACATGAATACAATAGAATAATTTTGATGTTTTTTATTTTGTATTTTGTTTAATATTTCTATAGTTGTTAGATAAGATCTGATTTAGAGATCACAATATTAATTTAATTTTATTGTTTTTAAAAATATTTTAAGATTAAAGATAACCATGTTAATGAGATTTCAAGATAATAATATCATTTATTTTAAATTTTTACCTTACCATATTATAGTAAATTTTAATCTCATATTTTAAAATATTTTAATATAAATTTAAAATAATTCATAAAATATACAAGAAATAATATAATGAATTCCATATTTTAAAAATTATTTCTCTTCTTTTTCACTCACATAAAAAATCTTAATTTATTTTCATCTTCCTTTACCTGTATATCTACACAGTCAAATAAGAAGATATCATTATCAATATTCAAATAAAATTATTAAAAATATTATTTTACTAAAAAAATTCTAATAACTAAGAGTAATAATTACTAATAATTATATACTTTAACCTATTCATTATTTTCTTTATAACAAAATTTTAATGAAACTAAATATAAAACCTACGATATATTGAATGCTGTGATATGATATATATAACAATAGAAGATGAAACAAAAAGAAATATCAATAAAATATTTATTTAATTAATTATATAAAAATTAGTTATATAAAATTTTAAATTGAAATATTTATTTTAGTAAATAATTAGATATAAGTTCATTTTTCTTATTTCATATTTTACATTATATTTTAATATAAAAAAAATTATATCCACGTGTCATTAAAAAAATATAATATTATAAAATTAAATTTTAAATAATTCAATAAAAATCATGAAATAATAGTTTTAAACCATGAAACGTAATCAAATAAGATTTAAAGTTCATCGTATACCACTTGAAGTTCGTGAACGTGAAGACATTTTTTTATTTTTTATTTTTCTCAAAAGAATGAACGTGGAGACCTTAATTACAAAAGTTGTTTATTATTTCAATGTGAAAAAACCTACGATTTTTTATTTATTTCAAAATTTTATCTCTTTAGCCTGATTCATCGCCAATCATTTGAAGCGTACTCTATCCGAATAGATATCCAAACTACTCGCACACAAAAAAATATATTATATATCATTGGATTCTCATAATCTATCATAAGTTCTATGTTCTATGTGTATATTTGAACTTAATAATATAATTTTATTATCACAACAAGAAATACAAATAAAATTTATCTTATTCTTTTAATTTAATCAATTTAATGTACAATCTTAAATAAAGCTACATATTAATTTTAGTGAGATGTATTCAATGGCGGATCTTTTTGGGAGTTGAGGAGAGCCGTAGCCCCCTAAAGTTTTGTAACTCCCATGTAATTTATGATTTTGGCCCCCCAAACTTAATTAACATTTAATATATTTACTTGTATATTTACAATTTTATCCTCTCAGTCCCTCCTCAGTTTTATAACTCTTATATAATTTATGATTTTGTCTCTCTCTAACTTAATGATCATTTACTTATATTTAAGTATATATTTACAATTTTATCATTTTACCTTTTTATCTTCTTTCTTCCTTTTATATTTATTAATAATATATTATTTGGTCCCCTAAGATCAATGGTCAAGATCCGCCACTGGATGTATTGGTATATTACCAATTAAGCTTGACCAATTATATAAATATCTTAAATTTGAAAATTAGTATTAATTTTTTTTATTAATTATGTAGCAAAATAAACTAAAATTATAATCTAACTCACGTGAAATGTCCAACGTGAGAGATGCTTAACATTTCCCTTCCGCGTGCATCAGTGCACACCAATGAGGGTTAATTCCAGACCGAATTACTCACACAAATTTTTTTTCTAATAAACGTTATTCTCATAATAAATAAATAAAATGTTCAATTTTGTCTTTCTTACACGTTAAAAAAATATATTATTAAGAATTAGATGATAAGTAATTTAAAACTATGTATTAATAATTAGATCATAGTTTATTTATTTATTGAGAACAATTCACCTACATTATCTATATAATTTCATCTAATTTTTTTATGAAAACAAAATTTAATTGCAACTTTACTTTCAGTTACAACTCAAAATAAAATTTAATATATTTTAAACACACAATTTTTAATATCAGATATTTATTGGAAAAATTAATTTACCTTAAAACATCAATTTATTGTACTATTGTTTCAAAATCCAACCTATGATTTATGAATATATAAATTATAAAAGATCTCACACACACACACACACACATATATATATATATATATATATATATATATATATATATATATATATATATATATATATATATATTAAATATACACAATATATTCTTTTTAACACAATAAAATATATATTGGATATTTATAATTATTATGATAATAATAGTAGGTGATAATTTATTATATAATTGGATGATAGTGTAAATAATACTTACACTTTATTTTTTTTATACAGTATTTTTTAAATTAAATGTAAAATAATATAATTTAAAAATCATTATGCACTATGTTTTTAAATAAATACTATGAAAAACATGTTATATAACTCACAAGAAAGATTATTCATGATTTTTTTAAAATAAATGTCTCATACATATATTATACTCACTTGAAAGACAACTATATTGGTCATTTATCAAGTTAAAAAAAGTTTTTTCTTATGCTAAGAATACTTATAAACGTGTAATATGCTAGAATAGATACTTTGCATGAACTTTTAAGCACAAAATTGAATAAAATAAAATATTTAATGTATTATTTAAAAAGTAAAATATATTTAAATAATCCAAAATTTAATATATAATAATAATAATAATAATATGAAATAAAATGATGGAATTTAATTTTATAGAATAAACTTAAATATGTCCTGAGTTGTCATTTTATTTGTCTTTATAACATTAATTCTTTTATCATAACTTTTCTCCAAATTCATAAATGCTAGTAATTCATAAGTGTTAGATTATTAAAGTAACCATAAATGAACATATATAATAAATAAAAGTTGATGAGTCTATATAAGAGATAGTTTTGCTACTTTTTGATCAATCCTTTCTCTATATTGCTCATCAGAGAGTAAAACAATCTCTCTTCCATGGCAGCCTCATCACAATCCACCTCATTGCATCACCAGTTTCTCAACACAACCACCGTCCAGAATGGCACAAACGATATTGAAACAGTTTATACAGAAGAAGCACTTCCAAATCTTACTTCATTCATGGAGAACAAAGATGAGAACGAGGAAGATCAAAAGTCCACAGCCAACCGGAGGTATTTACCTCTCCTGGTTCTCAATTATATTCTACTCTTTGTTGGTTCACTCTCGTCAAGTCTTTTATCAAAGTTTTATTTTATCCACAAAGGCTCTAGCAAATGGGTCTCAACTTGGGTTCAGAGTGCAGGGTTTCCCCTCCTACTCACTCCCATTTTTCTCCCACCCATCCTTAAATATACTAAGAGAAGACCCTTCACAGGTTTCAGTCAAAAAATGTACTGGTTTTCAATTTCCGTTGGTCTTATGTTAGGTTTCAATAACCTTTTGATCTCATGGGGAGTAGCATACCTCCCAGTTTCAACATCAGCCCTTCTTTTATCCACCCAGTTAGTTTTTACTCTTATTCTGTCCAGCATCATTGTTAAACAGAAAATAACATTTTCAAATCTGAACTGTGTCATCCTCATCACTATAAGCTCTATCATTCTGGCATTGGACTCTAGTCATGAGAAGCCAGAAGGGCTTACCAGCAGAAACTACTTCATAGGGTTCTCTTGCACCATAGGTGCTGGTTTGTTGTTTTCTTTGTACTTACCAGTGATGGAGAAGATCTACAAGAGGGTGTACTGCTACCAGATGGTGATGGAAATGCAGCTCATAATGGAGATTGCAGCAACAGCCTTGGCCACTGTAGGCATGGCATGGGACGGAGGGTTTTCTGACATGAAGGAGGAGGCTGAAAGGGTTTTCGACAAGGGAACAACCGCTTATTGGATAACTGTTATATCAACTGTCGTGACATGGCAATGTTGCTTTATGGGAACTGCAGGAATGGTTTTTCTGACATCTTCACTCACTGGAGGGATTTGCTCCACAGCTTTGCTGTCCATAAATGTGTTGGGTGGAGTGCTGGTTTATAAAGATGCCTTTGGAGGTTTTAAGGCTGTGTCAACTGTTTTATGCATTTGGGGCTTCTGCTCTTATGTCTATGGCATGTACATCAAAATGAAGAAAAATAAGAGTGAAAATGATCAAAGGAGAAGCACCAGTAGTGGATCTTCCACTGAGTTGATCCCCAGGAGGAACCCTGATGGGACTATTTGAACTCTTGAACTTTGATAAGATTGTGGTTTGGTTAACTGGTTTTATCCAGTCACATTGTTGCATAATTTGGATTTTAGTTATGTTTAGAAATTTAAGTTTGTGATTTTATGTTTGTAATTTCAGGTTTGTGATTTCAAGTTTGTGATTTGGAGTTTGTAATTTGTTTCAAGTTTGAATGCAGTTTAGTTTGTGCAATGAATTCTTCTATTACTTTATTTTAGGTTTAAACATAAAATTGGTTCTACTTAATTTTCTCCTATTATTTATTCATAAGATTTTATACAATAGTTAAGCAAAAGAGAAACAACACTAAAAATACTTTAGACAAATGGTTAAAAATATGGAATTAACGTTATGTTTTTATAAATAATTAATTAATGTTTTACAAAATTCATGAGCAAATTCGTCAGTTAAAAAATAATAACAGTATAAAATAATCGTTACACTTAACTTTATTATATATCTATAGCTATAACAGTTTTGTATCACATGAAATCTGTTTTTTGTTGACCAAAAGATAAAAAGTTTAGGGAGATTTTTAAGTGTGTCACGTATTACATGTTCTTGAATCTATGGTGTTTTCACTTAGTGGTTAATAAGCTCTGATATGGAATTTTGCAAATCTTTTTGAATTATAAACTCATCGGTTATGATATAATTAGGTTAAAGAAACTGATGAGTAGAACCATAAGTTAAAGAAGATTAAACTAAAGACTCAAACTCAATATTTTATAAAGTTTGTAACGCATAAATATAAGTATAAATAATAATAATAATAATAATAATAATAATAATAATAATAATAATAATAATAATAATAATAATAATAATAATAATAATAATAATAATAATAATAATAATAATAATAATAGTTGTATTTGAGAGAGTTTGACATATATGAAAACTATTAATTGTTATCTACAGATAAGAATTAATTGAAACAAGTTCTTTTAATGAAATAAAATGTTCATTAGATTAACTTTTTATTTCAATAAATGAGTAAGTATATGCATAAAGCTAAACAAAGAAAATATGAACGAAAATGATGGAATAGAATAAAAAGGGTTAACATTTGTTTGAGTGAAAGGTGATACGGAAACTTTTTAATATAATATTTTTAAAGTATTATACAAAACTTTGTTAAATTTACTTCTAAAGAATTATTGTTCTCTTGAAAATACCAGCAATCTCTTATGGAGGGATGGTTGTAGGACTGAACTTTTCTGTGCCTACAAACCAAGGGTTCTCTTGTATCTTGTCTCTAATGATGTCGTGTAACAATCAAGACAATTAATGCAGATTTTTCAGGTTCCCTCAGAACTTTCATGTCTATAAGGCCTCATCTTGCACCAATGCATGTTTGTTTTAGGATTTGAATTGTTTGATAGTAATTATTAAATATACATTGTTCTTTTTATTCAATTATTTTCTTTTTCTTTCATGAGATTAATCCTCCCTCCTTTCGTTTCGAATGTTGTTATTTTTCTCAAACATATTTAAAAAAAAAATTAGTGAATAGTAAATTTTACTAGAATAAACTTTTCTTTATTTCATTTTTCATCATGGTTCAACATTTAACAAAATGATTGTAATAATGCAAATTTTTTTTTATGAATGATTAATATTCTAAAAACATCTAAAATCATCATTTTCTTCTTCATTTCTTAGGTTTAAGAAACCTTTTCTTTGAAAATATTTATCAATAAATAAATTTATAAGCATATAAGTCTCTTGGTAATAATACAATTTCAAAATGTATGAGATTTTTTTTTATTAAAATTAAATATTATATAAATTTTATATAATTATATCTCACTGTAAAATCATCATATATAATTTTTAATGTATTAAGAAACTTAAATGAATTTTCATTATTAGATATGTGTTAAATTGTCTCCTAATTAATTGTTTTTATAACAAAAACCAAAAAGAAAATTAATTATTATTAAATCAATTAACATATATATATATATATATATATATATATTAAAATTGTAAACTAACTTGTATTAAATTATTTATTTGTTCATAATTGTTCCTTATAAAAAATATTAAATTAGTATGGAGATTTATTTGAAATATTAAATAAAATTATAATTAAGATATGTAAATAAAAACTTATAAAGAAACTTAAAAAAATATATAAAGTGTTCTCATCAAAGGAAATGTGATATTGATAATTGAAAATAATAACTGAGTGTATCATTACAATTTAAAATATATGTTAAATGTTAAAAAAAATATTGCAATTATTAACATGTGCAAATATTTTACAAAGTACAATGTTTTTACTTTTTATTATCTAATATCAATATATAATTCATCTTCATTTTATCTCATAGTAGTATATTTAATTAATTGATTTTTTTATTATTGATTTTTTTATTTTATTATATTATATTTCATAAAATTCTAGTGATGTATAAAACTTGAAATAATAATAAAAAAACATAAATTTCATAAATACAGTAACGTTTGTTGTTTGAGTATTGGGCGTTAATATCTATGAGCGTGCATGCAAGGGTGGATCAGAAATTTGAATCGGCGTGGGTGGTTTTGTGAAAATCAAAGTTAATGAATTTGTCATTTCCCATACTTTGCATGCAATTGTATAAGTCACTCCAGAATTATAACAACACGTAACATTACAAAAACAACGTATCCAACACTAAAAACACTAATTGATAATATTAGAGATCTTATCGTTTGGATTGGAGATGTTTTTATAAATTAAAAGTGTCAAAAGTTAGAACATTTATATATTTTTAAGTCTTTTTAAGTTAAGGATATAAGAGAAATAAATATATGTTATTTATAAAATAATTAACAATTTTTTAATATTAATTTTTTTATAATTTTATGTGATTTTATACATTTTATTAGTATATTATTAATTTTTTTAATACTAAATTCCTATTTTATATAAATTTAGGAATGTAGAAGTATTATAGTATTTTTTCAACTTGAAAAAGATATATATTTTTCATTATAATCTATATGTGGCATACTTGGTTAAGATATGTCTCTTTATATATATAAATAAACTAATTCTTTATCCGCAAAAAGTACAAAACCACAAATTATATTTTTGTTTAAGTTTGTTGGAATTTCTTTAAAAAGTTTTATTAAAACAAAAATAAGTATATATTATTCGGCTATATATGACATAATAGAAAATAATATTTTAATAAAAATAATTTTGAGTATATATATATATATATATATATATATTATGTTAAAATAATATTATTTATTTTTAAATAAATCTGGCAATAATTGCCTTTAAGTTTTATACAGAGAAATTAATTAAAACAAAATAAACTGAAATTATAATCTAATTCACGTGAAATGTCTAACGTGAGAGAGGCCTTTCAAACCCTTATTAAAGGTAAAGAGACAGGTAAGAATTTGGAACCAACGATGCCTTTCAACACTCACCGACACATTTTCCTCCTACATGCATAAGTGCACACCAATGGGTTTAATTCGTCACTGAATTACTGACAACTTTTCTTTTTTAATAAATGTTGTTATAAGAACAGAACAATTTTTTGGAAATCGATCATAATTTATCATATATCTTATCATAAGTATTTAATATATATATATATATATATAATATTATTTTTCAAAATATTCCTTAGTGTTTTTATCTTATTATAATAATAAAAAAATGTTCAGTTTTATCTTTTTACAAGTTAAACATTATTTTATTAAAAACAAGATGATAAACAATTTAAAAACCTTCTATTAACAATTACATCATACTTTATTTATTTATATACAATAATTTACTTACATAATTAATAATAATGTACATTTTATTATTAATTAAATATCTAATATAAAATATATATTTTTTTAATTATCTATCAAGTAATTATCTAATTATTAATAAATCTTTATTTAGGTTTTCTCCTCCTCAATGTTGTAATTCTTCTTTCACTTTTCAATATCAAATTCATTTATATATTCTTTCTCTCAAATAATCATAAATTTTTTATTAGGTCACTCGTAAGAATAGTATTCTAGGTTTTGACATTTGAAATCTTTCATATCTCTACTTCTTTTAGAGTATTGTTTTTTAGACTTTGAAGAAGTCTTTGAAAGAATAGGTATGAAACTACTAGAAATAGCAATTCTATCTTGCTTGTCTCTATCTTTTCAACTTGAAGATCCAAAATTAATAGAACTTTTCTTAGTCACTCATTTTCTTTTGAATTGTTGTTCCACTCGAATTATTTTATGAAGTAAATGTTTCATCTCAACATCCATTTCATTTGTTTAAATTATGAGCATATCCATTTACTTATTCTTCAACCACTTGTTGTCTTGAGTAAGTTTTTGGTGTTTGGTACCTTGAGTAACTAGCCGACACATACCGCTTCCTCATAATGTATGGTTGACTCCTCGTTTCTAACTATCTTCTTTCGTAGCTTGTTCCACCAAATAAGAGCATAGTAAGAAAACTTTGTGGTTACAAGCTTCAACTTTTTGGTCTCCTCATAATTGTTGCATGATAAAACATGTTTTATTTTCATCTCTCACACCAAATATGCTTATAGATCACTTCTTCCTTTGAATGGAGGAATATTAAGTTTGACTCCTTCAAGCCTATTTGATATTGCTACTCCATCATTCCTTCTCTTATTTCTCCTTTCTTCTTCATTTCGGGACCTTTATTCTCTAATCAGTCCAATTTATCATGGAGTTCATTGTTGTGTCGTATCATTAGTCCTTCCAAATGTTGTGTCAATGTCCTCATTTAGACTGGACTCAGTCCTACTCCTTTATTATAATTTTTTTCCTCTACCATCACAACAAAATAGATCTAGAGTAACAATAAAAAAAATATTGTAACCTCACCACACTCAAGTGTATTACACAATTATGACTTTTTCTCTAATGAAAACACTTTTGTCTTTTACCACTCAAATTCTCCTTGAGTTTTTAGGCAATTTAAGAGATTATGATTACAACAAAAAATAATCCTCCAATAT